AATTCCCTTTTATCTACCATATCAAATCAGTCATCTATTAACTTAGCCATATAAAGGTGTTAGTAATTATTGATAACCTATTTCATAATAGTCTGAGAAAAATTAGAAAGTCCACATAGATCACTTATTGGTGCCCAAATAATAGTTAACAAATTAGTCCTACTAAGTGCTTTGATCAGATGGATGGACAAATAAGTAGATAGAAACACACACATAGATAGATGGATGGATACATAGATACACAGAAACAATGACAGAACTCATGTCTGGCACTTTAGGTTAATTATTTATTCATTCAAAAATATTTATAGTGTGCTCCTATGGCTAGATACTCTTAGGTTCTGGGAATACTTGAGTGAACAAAGTGATATACTATTTTCAAGTACCTTATATTTGAGATAAGAGAGACAGGCAATGTATATAAATAAACAACATATCTTTCAGTAATAAATTATATCAAGAAAATAACACGGGATAAGAGGGACAATGGATAGAGGATACTATTTTAGATACTCTCTGATATGGTGACCTTTAACAAGAGATCTGAAGGATATAAGAATGCCTGGATCTGATTTCATCCTGTTTATAACTTTTTAAAAGTATTATTATACCCATTTTATAGGCAAGAAACTTATGGTTCATAAAGATTGTTATTTGTCCAACTGGCCTCAAAATATTTCCAAAGTCTCAAGCTAAGCCTGTTGTTTATGTCTGCTGTCCTTCCATCTTTGCCTTAGTTCAGACCCTCTTCACATCTTGCCTGGACCATTCCAATAGACTCGTCACTGGCCTTTCCCTCCCTGAACTCTTCTGCCTCCAAAGGCCCACATACCCTCAGAATGACCTACAACACAAACAGGCTGTATCAATTACTTGCTGAAAATCCTTCCATGTTTTCCAATGCTCTGGACTCAGAGGGTCAAGGTCAACTCCTCAGAAGCACACCAGGCTCATCTTTGTAGACTGGCTTCCTGGTATATCCCATGCATAGAGCGCTCCATTCATTCCACATTTAGGCTTCTTCATGTCCCTATGATGCTGTGTGTGGCTGTGGATGTTGCTTTCTCAGCTCTAATTTCTCATCTCCTCTTGGTGGCACAGAGACCCCTACCAACTGACTTCTTCAATAACTCAGCTGAGAGAGCTTTCCGGACCCCATCTGCTCCCCCGATGCTTTGCTTATAGATTTCATTAACAGTTCTGATTACATTGTTACTAACAAGTATTCTCTGAAGTCAAATGAGGCCACATCCACCCATCTTATGAAGACCCTGACATGCTGAATGTTAAGAAATCTTAAGAATTACAGAAGCATGGTGTACTTTGAATTTTTACATAACACACACTCTCAAACATAGATGGAGAATGCTGGCACCTGGAACAAATGACTTGAGGAAATAAATAAATGTCTTACCACATGGAACATAGAGAATACCTCTCTCGATACATGGACAGAATATAGAACCCACAGAAGGAACACAAAAGGCTCTAATTATTTGCTGTATATCCATAGCATACTAAGGGGTCAGTTAATTGGAACATAATAAATGTCTTTATTGATAAAAAATAAATAAATAAAAGGAGGTTGTTATAAGCACTCATTTCACTGAGCAACTCTGGCCACAAAGGCCATGTGCCAGAGGTTTTCCTCAAAGGAGAGCTGGTTTGAGACCTATAAGCTGGGCATTGAGGCTCTGATTCTAAAAGGCAGGATAGAATCTGCCACAGAAGCCAAAGAAGGGACAAAATGTCAGAAGGTCTTGGCCCTCTTCTCAGTTTTGTCGCTAGTTCATTTCTCCATGTATGTCCAGAATAGAGTCTCTATCCATTTAGGATATAGGTTATATCCACTTAGGATTTAAAGCAGCTTATGTTTTACTTCTCTGAATATAAAAGTCACATGAACACACTGCAGAAAAATGGGGCAATGTAGATTAGTATAAAAATGGAAAGCTACTTAAGAAATGGGGACTGAGAGATCATGAGCTTGAATGAGTTAGCATTTCTGCAGGATATGAGTCTCCATCTTAAGTCGCTTTAAGGTCAGTTCCTCAAAGGAAATAATTTCTGTTAAAATAGCAGCATGATCATTTTGAAGTGATGACCCTTCACTTGAGTTCAGAATATCCCAGGTAGTTTCACCAGTACTACTGAAGAAGTCATATTCTTTCAAATGCAATATGTAATAATAATAATAAAAAAATATTTGGAGTGGTTGTTTTCTTTCTTTTTCTATCCCTTTTTTAATTTAAAAGCCACAACCAAAGTCATTTCAAAGTGAAGTATGCTAACCAGCATAAATAGAGAACACAGAATAAAAGACTATTTCATTCTGGAGCCAGACAACAAAATGTCATGACCTTTGTCCTAAGAGTTTGATTTTCAGAAAAATTTCTTTATAGAGTTTTCTAGCAATCAAGTGTTTGGAACATTAAATGTGGGAAAATTTTACTTGAGGGCAACACTGCTTTCTAGGATGTGGTCCAAGATATTTAAAATGAATGTTGAATAGGGCCTTTTATAATAAAGTTTCACTGAGTGTTGCAACATCCACAGTGAAGTCCCCTGAGGCCTAGAGCTACATCATGCTCTTGTACCCTACCATGCCATACCATGCCACATAGAGACCCTCAATTCATTTTGTTGAATTGCATTTGATTGAATATGCTCTGTTTTGTTTTTGTTTTAAGAACTGGTGGACTACCATATTGTATTCTAAGGCAATAGTTTACTGCAAACAATGTTTCTTTACATATTTTGATGTTTTTCATAATCTCAGGCAAAAAGAATTATATTATCAAGTAGCTAAGTGTCTAGTCTCCCTCTTCCCTGAAGGACTTTTGGCATATCCAGAGTTCGAGGGATTGAGCACTAAAATCTTCCATGTGTTACTGTGCATCTCATTGGACCTAAGACCTATTTACACTCTGTCCCTGGTAACTGAGATTGGACGTGGAAGCAGAAGACAAACATTAGAAAATACCCGTCTTCCAAATGGCCCCTTTAATTCCAACTACCTTGAGAAAAACAGAATATCTCTGGCAGCAGTGTGTATGCAGGAAAGAGGGCGGCCACTTCAAACAAATTCTCACCCTGGGATGATCAACCCTGAACAAGGCATTCAACCTTTCTGAGCCTCAGTTACCTCATATGTTAAGTGGGGAGAAGAACATCTACCTGACTACCATGAGCAAGACCTGAGATTCAACTGGCACCAGGAAAAAAAAAATCAACCTCAAAGATTAGAAAGAGACATTGGAGGACTTTTAATAGATACCTGGGACACAGCTGCCTTTTAGATTATAAAATATCCATTACCCATCATCTCTGGGTTCAAGATTCATGTGTTTGTACTTTAGCTTCTCTGATACAAGGCTGAGTCTATCTGATGGAGTATGACTTATTTCCCCCCGCCCCCAAATTCATAAGTTCTAGCAGAAACAGATGCCGAGACTTCCATCAAATGTTAGTTAAATGGATGAGTTTTAAAATATTGCACATATTTCTTCTTAATATTTATAGCTTTGTAAAGGCCAAAAACAGCCTTTCTTTTAATAGTGAAAGATGAATATGCTACACTTGGAAATAAATTTAGATTTTAAAATGTTTTTATTATATATTTTATCCTATATATTGAAAAATATCTGTTTGTTGATATAATACCTCATTTTCTAGTCTAAGTCCATGAAGCCCTTAGTACCTCAATGAAATTAGGTGGGCGTCTAATTTAGCAGTACAAGGGCCTTTCTTAGTGCCCAGAGCCAGACCTAACTCTGGACTCATATGCAGATATAGTCCAATGAAACACATAATCTTGTCCAATATGCTGAGCAATGGTAGAAGCTAGAATTCATGAAGCAGATGAATAAAAATCATTCCTGAAAACTCACATGTATTTTAAGGACCAGGGGAAGAAGTTGGCTTTGATTGAGGAAAGAAGAATGTATTTAAATCCAGGAAACCTAAAGCTTACCTTTCATTTTACAAGTTGAGTGACCATAAGCAAATCAGCACATAACTCATAGATTTTTTAATTCAATGGGCGTATAATGAAAGTAATTATCCCTATCTTAAAGTTGCTAGAACATTAAGACAATGTACATGAAAACACAGTGTATGATCTCCGTAAAAACCATCATCAATATTTGTTGAACGTGAATCAATTAAAAACCTCCAAATACGAGAAAGAACATTTTTCTCCCTTTAGGAATGGGTACTTATAAATCCATCCAATTTTCATAAAACCTAATATAATATATAAAAATGCAAGTCTACAAAATCATGTAAGCCCACTTTGTCTACAAAAGGATTCTTTACAAATTAAACCACCTTTGGATTCCATTAAATAACAGCTGAACCAGAGGCAATTAAAATTCAGCATAATTTACAAACATAGTTATTATACTTGATTTTTCAGATTTTATTTTTTTTAATTTTTTTTTAAGAGAGAGTGAGAGAGGAGGGAGAGAGAATTTTTTTTAATATTTATTTTTTAGTTCTCGGCTGACACAACATCTTTGTTGGTATGTGGTGCTGAGGATCGAACCCGGGCCGCTAGCATGCCAGATGAGCGCGCTACCGCTGAGCCACATCCCCAGCCCAATTTTTCAGATTTTCAAAAAAAAAAAAAATCTCTTCCTGAACAGGAATGGAAGATGGTGATTTCCATCTTCCATTGAGAAGCTAGATGCCTAGAGAGTTAGAGAATATTTTTCAACATTGCTTAAAAACTGTCCATCTATACATTTATCAAAAATCTTAATTAAAATATGCTGACCTCAAAAAAGATACAATAATATTTATAATTTTTACTTGGAAAAAAATCAATTCTTTTGAAGTATAATTTTCAGATACCAACTTTGGTATATAATTTAATGAACTCTGACAAATACATGCAATCATGTATCTGTCACCAAAATCCTAACAGCATACTCCCGCCACCACAAAGAGTTCTTTTGTACCTGTGTTTCCTTCCTCTCCACTTGTCACCTCTGGCAAACAGTGTTGTACGTTCTGCTATGACTTTTCTTTGTTTGTTTTTTTTTTCTTTTTTTTTAAGTTTAATTTAATCAGAGTCATACAGTATGTAGCCTTTCAAGTCTGGATCTTTTAGTCAGCATAGAGCATTGGAGATTCACCCATACTGCTGCAGGTATCACATTTTGCATGTAGCTCATTCTTTTTTATTGTTGACTGTATATTCATGGACACCCCATGGTTTGTTTATCCCTTCAACAGTTTGTGGACATCTGCAATGCTTCTATTTTGATTTCTTATGAATAAAATTGCTATGAAGATTTGTTCACACACCAGCCTTTCTATAAAAAAAAAAGTTTTCATTTGGATAAAAATACCTAGGAGTAGGGTTGTGAGTTATATGGAAAGTATAGATTTACTTTATAAGAAACTGTCTAAGAGTTTTTCAAGGTGGCTGAACTGTTGTACATTCCCACCAACAGTGTATGAGGGTTCCAACTTCTCCACTTCCTCCCCAATGATGGTTACTACTTGACCTCTTTAGTTTTAATTGGATGACTTCTTGGTCATTGGCATCCTAGTGAATGTGAAGTGGTATCTCGTGATTTTATGTTTCCTTGATGACTAATGATTATTGAGAATTTTCCCATGTTCTCATTAGCCATTCATAAAGAATCCCTTTGGGTAAAGTGCCTGTTCAAACCATTTGCCAATGTTTAAAAAATAGATTCTTTGTCTTCTATTTAATGAGTTGTAAGAATGCTGCATATCTAGAAAAGTGACCTTTATCAGATACATGTTTTGCAAATATTTCCTCCCAATTGGTACCTAAGCTTCAAACTTGGACATCATCCTGGATGCCTGTCATTCTCTTTTACCTCCCCTCCCATCCTCCCGGCTCTACTATAAAATGTCTCCAGAGTCTGCAGCAACCTCTCCTCTGGTCCTCCTGGTTCTGCCCTTGACCCTCTATCCTAGTCTTCACTTACCATCCCCAGTGATCCTTTCAAACTGTAAATCAGATCATGTCCCTCTTCCTCTGGAAAACTTTACTATGTGGGAAAATTACAGGTGAGTATACAAATAGTGAAAATTCCATTGATAATGTTTTGAAATCAGACTTGACCAGAGTATAAGGCATTCTTTTCATTAAATAAAAGATGAAGGATGTCAAATACGGCATCAAAAAGGTCTAATCCCATTTACCCTTGAAATGTCAGCCATTTTATGGAGAAAACACTGACTTTCCTAGGGCTTCCCCATTTTCAAAGCAGAATCATAGTAAAGGAACTCTATGCTGAAACAGAGATAAGCCAGGAGTTAGCTTCCTCTTGTGGGTTCAAAGTTAGTTTAAGAGGAACGTGTAATACTGTCAGGGAATAACGTTGAGCAATCTTGGGGTTCTTATTGTTCCTCTTAGCTTGATCCTTTATGTGACAGTGTGTGTAATTTTAGGTTTATGAGATGATTAATTTTTCAGTTTTCAATTGCAATAAAGTTATCTGTTGAATGTAATCACTGATATGCTTGTTACTGTGATTCCAAACACTTTACCCTATTTTAGATCCAAGTACAATAATTCTTTATGCCCAGATAATTGGTTAAGTAAAATTCTACTATGATCATGTCATCATCAGAGGGGTTAGAATCAAGTCGGGCATAATCTCTCTTATCTGTGTGTTCAGGGGTTGTCATTTCTGCCAGAAAAGACCCTTTCTGGTCAGTCTAAGATTTACAAAGGCTCTATTAGAAGATATTTTATATTCAGTTCATATAGTCAAATGCTAATAAAGATAATGCCATTTAGCACAATGCTTCTTAAGGCAGGTTTTGGAATCTATCTGCAATGTAGGAACTAGAACTCACATGAAGAGAGGAAGCACAAGGCATCTGTGGATTCAAGATGCACAAACAAATATTTCTTTGGGTGCCATGTGGAGAAATAGAACCATGTATTTTTTTTAATCAGGTTAGATTTTTAAATCCAATGACTAATGAAATTGTATGTTGTCTCTGGAGAAATTACTTAACTTCTGGGAAATGTCCATTTTGTCTGAATTTTTTAAAGTTGATAAATTGAATGAGCATGCCCTATAATGTAAAAAAACTGAAATCCAAACACCTCACTGCCCTATGAATCTCTTGCTCCAAGATTATAAATTTTCAAATCAGATAGGAAAAAAATAAACTGTAGAATCAGAACTCAAAGTCATGCATTTAAATAAGAAAAGAAAGCCATAATTAAAACAAGTAAACATTGTTCTAGGACACAGAACCCATTTGCTAAATTTCCAAATATTTTATTCAAGAGTAGAAATATTTTATTTCCACTAGAAATATTCCAGTTTGGTTTGAGTCACTGTGAATATAGAATGTCATAATGCATTTTCAAAACAAATCATTTCTTAGGTATTTGCTATCTGATTTCTACTTTGTGAATCACTGAGAGTAAAACCAACACCCATGTAGACACAGGCTCTAAAGTGAGAGTATATGAACACAGATCAAAGGTGAGCTTACGGCCTTTCAGTGCCTCACAAACACATACCTCTTGGCCTGCCAACATTCTTAGGTAGCAAGGTGTTCACTCCCAACATCCCAGGGGTGTAGTATTATCTTAACCTCACACATGCTTCAATCTGGATTAAAGAGCAAAGTTTAAGAGAAGTCAGTGCAATTTATTTTGGAATATATCAAGAAAATATGACCTTGAGAGCTGCTCTGCTTCTTACAAGGTCCAGGCCATAATAATGCCTTCCAAAGAATTCTATTAAAACTGCAGCTCTAGCCAATCCCTTCTCCAATTGAGTTCATGTCAACAGATGCTTCCTCTTGGCTGCATCAAAGCAAGTAGCCTCTACTTTAGGCCTAAATAAGATATAATAATAATAACAACGATAAATAGCTGTTATTTATTGATCTCGTGTTTGGAAGAGACAATACTAAGGCTCCCTATATGCTACCCAATTTATTGCTCAATAAGAAGCCTTTTCATGAGATAACACACGATTAGCCTTATTTCACAGATAAGAACACTAAATTCAAAAAGGCTCAGTAACTTGGCATCCAAAATTTATATGATACTGGAATTTGTACCAAATGCATCTTTATTATGAAGACTGTAGTTATGGCTTTTGTGTTGCTTTTTTATTATGCTTGCCTTTCCAAGACTTCTGACAACATTTGATTAGGGAAATGGCTTATCTAGCTCTGTTATCATGCTTCTCAATAAATAAAAAATTCAAAGAGCATGTCAGCTCAGTGTAAATGGTAAGAACACAGCTTCTTATTTTCTTTTTAATAACCCTTTCCACAGTGGGCTTCTATCAGCCTGAAAATAAGGTTAGAATTACATATGCCTGGGCTGGGAACATAGCTCAGTTGGTAGAGTGCTTGCCACACATGCACAAGGCCCTGGGTTCCATTCCCAATACCACAAATACTCACACAAAGAATTGCATATGCCTTCTAGGCAAGGGGTTTGTTTTTAATGTTTGACTCCACTTCCTATGACCGGTTGTCTAGATTAGGTGCACTGAGAACACATCGTGGTTTACTGAGCTCTTACCAATGTCACCAAGTTCCACTTTGCTAAATATGGTGGTCTGTTTTCAGTCTTTTTGTCAGATCTATCAACTGCATCTGTTGGGGGACTGGCTTCTCCTCCACTTGCCTTCCAAGACATGAATCCTTGGCCACTTCCTTCTCAGAGTCCTTTACTTGGTTTCATTACTTTCCTCTCAGTTCCTAAATCTTTGGTTGCTCTTCCCTGAGTACTCAACTACCTTCACACTTGGGGTGAACCATTCTTTATCATGACTTTAAACCCCTTCTGTACACTTCTCATTATTAAACTAATAATTTCACCTTCAACCTCTTCCCTGAACTCCAGACTGGTGTATCCAAGGTGTATTCACCTTGGATGTCTAAAACCCAGCTCCTGGTTTTCTCTTCCAACTCTCCTCTTTCTATACTCATCCCCATTTTAGTTAATGACAATTTAGTTGATACTCTTGCTCAGGTCAAAAGTCTTGGAGTCATGTTAATATCTACCAGTCCAAATTTATCAGTAAATCTGGATAGTGGCTTGTCTTTACCTCTAAGACAGATACAGAAGCCAGAATTTCTCACCAGTTCTTCTATAACTATGCTGGTTCAAACTGTCTATTATACCATTGCTGCACTAACCTTCCAAATGTCTCCCTGCTTCTACTTTCATTGGCTTTGCTCTATTCTCAACACAATGGACAGACTAATTCTTTAAAGCACAAGGCAGATTGTGCTATTCTGCTCAGAACTCTAGTCTTCCCACTTATTCAGAGCAAAAGGCCCCCATTACTTCTCTGGATCATCTATTAATTTCTGACTTATTCTTCTTGGGCTGCCTTTGCTTTTCTTCAACGGTGCCAAGCATATTCCTACCTGAGGACCATTTCACTTGTCATTTCCTCTTCCTGTAACTGACTTTCCCTATCTACCTGGTTTACTCCCTCATTTCCGTCCAGTCTCTTCTTTAAATGGTCCATAATTAGAGACTACTTTCCCTGACCCCTTCCAGCCCACCCTATTTCTCTGACCCAGCTTTATTTTTCTCCCTATTATTGTTTTACTATTTGGCATTTTTCATATTTTCCTGTTTTATTTTCAATTTCCTGTCTGCTTAATCTAGAAGAGAAGGTCCAGATTGGCAAAGAATTTGCTTTGCTCAGTCCTGTATTCTTGGCACCTAGAACAGGGCCTGACTAGTGTTAACTACCAATGAAAGGGAATGGATTATGGAGATTTGTACTCAGTAGAACCTCCAATAGCATCCTCTCCTCTTTCCGGACAAGGCTGTCTCTTCTAACTAAACTTCAGACCTTCCCTGGCAGCCGGCATGCTGTATGCCCCACAATATATAGTTATGTGTTCCCATTCCCTATGGTTCCTTGGTTGTGGTGCCATTGCAGACCCAGATTCTATCCTCCTTTTCTCTCTGCCATCTCAGTAATTAGCTGAGTCCTTATACTCATCTTTTCAATGTTCCACAAAGATTGCTACAATTCCAGGAGTCACTTAAACACAAAAAGAGAGAAATTTCCTCCCATCGTTTATTTTTCATTCCTTCTGGGAAGATTCTCACCAGGTTTTCCTTTACTATGTCAAATGCTCATTTGTTCAGGAAATCAAGGTGATGGCATTAGTAGCTTCTGCAGTGGAGGCTGAGAAATGTGGGGAGTAGCAGTGGTTACTGGGTAGGAAGCAAGAGC